ATACAAGACGTGAAAGGATCAATTTTTATACCAAGCCATGAAGGAAAAAAAAAAGAAAGACCGCGCTATCCCCTCCAACGGAACATGCTTTGGCTTTTCTTAGACGAGAACAATTTTTGTGAGGATAAGATGGTGAACACAAAGAACAACCGTTGGCTTTGCTGTTTCCCCAAAAGATGTACTGAGAGTGATGAAAACCAAATATCCAGTCGACATCATGGTGTTTGGAGGGATCACTAGTGATGGCGAAGTTATGCCTACATTCATCTTCCCTGAACGCCTCAGACACAACACTGAGACCTACATCAAGAGCCCTGCGGAGGTAGAGCTGCCCTGAGTCAAGAGGGTGGCTGCTGGAAGACCCTATATCTGGCAACAGGACTTTGCACCATTTAACAAAATCAGGAGAACACAGTAATGTCTGTCAGACAATTTCTGCGATCACATCACTCTTTACATCTGGCCACCTAACTCCCCAGACTGTAACCCTTTTGATTATCATGCGTGGGGTGCAGTTGTGCGAGGGACCAGAAAAAACTCCGTGTAGCGCCAAAGCTGAACTGAAGGCAAGGATTCCACTTAAACAAGGACACATTTCCAGAAGACATGCAGAATATTCCAAAGTTGTCTGGTGATCATGGTATATATATATATATATATATATATATATATATATATATATATATATATATATAATTTTTTTTTTTAAATGTATAACATAAATATGTTATAAAATCACTACAAAAATAGCCATTCTATTTCAACACCCCTGGTGTCTTATCAAGTGATGATGTTGAACCTATATATATATATACATGAATATATAACAGCAACTTGTTTGATAAAGATCTGTGATTTGCCTCCAAATTTGATTAGCGTGTAATGTATGTGGTCGCGTCTACACTGGGACGTTACACGCTGACAGAACTCATTCACTACACGTTATGAAGCACCTGTGCTTGCAAAAAAATAGAAAAAAAATGTGTTTTAAGTGATGGACTAAAGCAACATTTCTTAAAAAATATTAATGTTTTAATTACTGTTCATATTTATCTATCTCTGAAATAGATAGATAGATAGATAGATATGTAGGTAGATCGATATATATGTAAATTCCTATATATGTATTAAATACAGTGGTAATATTCTTAAACTAATTACTCCAAAACACATACATCATAAAAGTAGTAAAAAAATTAAGCTGATAATATATATATATATATATATATATATATATATATATATATATATATATATTCACACATATCCCTGGATATAAATGACCCTTACAGGTCATATGTTCGATCAATAACTGAAAATGATTGATGATTAGTCGTTCAAACACTCGAAGCGTGCAACCATTAACTTCTTGTAATAGAAATCAATTATTTTGTGAAAGGATTTCGTTCTGGATTTTCGTAAAGAATTTTTCTTTCACCGGAAGGAAGGGAATACTTTTTTTTTCGTTTTTTTTTCGGTTCACCATTTCGATTTTTCTAAACCGCCTACATATATGAAGGAAAACAATCAAATTGATCCATTTCACCAACGTACATTCTACACACACATATACACTCACTCACTCAATCACTTAACATCATCTGACCAAATTAGCGAACATAAGATTTTTGGGGAAGTTTTTCTTGATGGTAGGGAATTTTAGGGTGCGATATAAAAATTTTCGTCATTTTTTATTTTTTATTTCGCGCATGCACGTTGTTTGTTTTTGAATTTTCGTCTGCGCATTAGAGTATGGTCTGTTGGACACTTTACTCCGCCATAAATTGTCATTATTACTGTGTGGCACAACAATATCGTAAAATCAAAAGAAAATGGTGGAATCTGCCATCAAAGTTATAATGACAATATTCTCCACACGTGACAATAACTGACGTTATTTTCAGTTAACAATATGAAAATAGCGAAAAATGAGTGTGTGTGGAGCTTCGTTAAAATTCAATAGATTTAAGCAATAATACTAAAAATCACAATTCTTTACCAACATAGGCTCACACAGAAATTTACTCCTTTCTATGCAAAAAGTAGACTCCAATTTGAATTTCCACATTCGAATTTATCAGCGACGTTATATCAAACGCCATCAAAAGCCTTCAAATTTCAGACGCGCACACGTGTGTTGTCGCCTACGAAATTTGAGAGATGACTCTAGAAAATGGTTAACAATATGTTTCCTTCTAAAAACAAATATTTAAAAATTTAAAAATATCTATTAACTAATAAACTTCTGAGTTTAGTAAATCTTACTGGAGCCTGTGCGCTGTTATAAATACGATCGCGTAAATTCCCAAATTCTCTTCTTTTTGTAAACCTTTGACCAAGCTTCATTGTAGCTGTTCACAACTTATTACTCTCAGCTTTCGTATAATTAATTTCTCAACCTTTCACACATTTTTTCGAGTAACATCTTGCAATAACATCCTGATTTTAAAGTAAAGTAAACACCACGTGAAACCTTCGAAAGGAGTTATGTCAAGATAAATATTAGATTTAGTTATCACACAGATTTCGTTTACTGACAGCTAACTGCTGGAAAATTACATGCATTCATAAAACCACGTAAATACATGACTCTTGTTAAGTATGCACTTTACGATTTTCTACGATACTAACGCAATTATGTTTGTTGTGTTGTAAAGAACAAAAATGAAATATTTAACATTTAAATACTTAAAACATTTATTTACATTTGTAGAGCTGTGCTTGAAAATTGTTTATTTCTTCGCTTTTCACACGCCTTTTCCACTACACACACGCACACACACATAATTAATTGTTGACTTATCTCTGCTCTGTATTTTGCTGACATTGCAAGCACTCGTCAAATGCTATGATTTTAAGACTGTAGAATTTTATAAGCAGCCCCCCACCCGCTGAATGGATAGAATCCCAGCGTTATTCAGTGTAGGAATAGTACAAATGAATATTTAATTACTACTAACGCTCCATCTGTAATTACAAAGACTGCGCTATAGATAGTTAGATATCTGTTCACAGAATGATTTTATCCTCTCTTAGTTGTAAGAATGTACTCAGATAGAACCCATTTGTAAAGAGGTATTTTAGCTATGGCAGCCATGGTACACAGATAGGTTTTAACACCGGGATAATTTTGCATGTCAGAAAAGTGAGACACTTTATCTCCGAGATGGATACTGTTGTAGGGTGTTCTCGGACAACACTAAAAAAATATGAATATGTTGTTACGGTTTTTTGGGTATATAACACCGATGACTAGTGAGCGAGTCAGAATGACTTATTTCCCTTTATAGTCGACCAATGGGAGGTTGACCAATCAGAAGCCGCCCAACACTGTATTCATCGTGTATAAAGGCGGCCATCTTGTTTCGTCTACCAGAAGGACAAAAGGCGACCAGGAGAAGGATGAACTACACTCTGCTGTGATATCCACTGCGAACCTTCACTACGCTTTCCTACTGTCTCCGAAATATTCACTGCTAACCTCTAGATTCAATACTCAAGGACGACCGTCATGGAAATGTCTAACATATGTGAATTCTGAGCGGATTGCAGGGGTACGTGTAAAGAGCGGACGACTACAGTTGATACAAAAACAAGCAGTATTAGATATTTTTGCATGTCAGCAATTAACTCATAGCTAGAAGTTATTAGGTAACTGTCTCTAATCTTTCATATGGAGGTTATTTGCTTTTTACCGACTTAGATTTAGCAATCAACATGGAAACTTTTAGATGAGATATAATATCAACGCTTGTCACAACTGGAAAATACCGAACAATGTTAATGTGAAAATATACGAAAACGACTTCGCTTACACCGTAAATCATCGTACCATTACACAAATGCAGGTATAGTCATTTTATCTGTATGTAACATGTTCCTTCAGGATGTGAGCGGTCCTTGTTTTTTCGTATTTCCCGCCTTTTTTCAATAAGTAACTTTTGCTAATTTACGATTTTTCTTTAGCATATTCCGGCCTTTATTTTGGCATATATTCACTAAAAATCGACAATTCTGCTACTTATTGTTTCTCTCTGTGTTTCCTGCCTTAATACGTTCTTCTAATATTCTTTCTACATTGTATGACATCTCTCGTTCTGATTTCTATTGTAGTTCCAATTCTCCAAAAAACTTCTTTCCTGGGTATGACGATAAACTACATCCACATCCTGGGTAAGACGATAAACTACGTCCAACAGCAAGGACTCTGATCAGGAGGTTTTGAGGGGTGTGGAACCATCTCTTAATTGCTGTTGTTCCCAGCTCCATCCTGACCCGTGATGGTAGCACCTGTTAGGGTCCGTCTTAGGTATGGGCAAATATTTAATCCCCAAACTGGGATCAAAACACCATGAAAGTGTAAAAATAGATTTTAATACAATCAATAGATTTTTGTAAAAAAATATTATCAGTAATAAATTTTAGAAGAAAAAATATTAGCATCAATACATTTTTGGAAAAAAAAATATTAACAGCAGTAAAAATCTTGTCGGCATTAAATAACCCATTCAGGTTTATATGCTGTAAAACAAAATAAATCAAACCAAACTAAAGAGACCATAAAACTTATTTCTCACATCCTCTGCCCACTGTTAGTAGAATCACATTTGTGAATTCAAGTTTTTACTTCATCTATAGCGAAATCTTCCGCTCTTCGTTCCCATGTAGGACATTAAAAATTTAGAATTGTAATTATTAATTTAATCTGACCCACACCAATTTCAAATTACCACCCCCAAGAACTATGCAATATTTCCATGTTCCCAGTTAGAAGAATCAAACATTTATTAAGAATATGAATAAAAACAGGCGCATCTAATTTAAGAGAACTGATTGAAATCACATTCACTGTTAATGGCTTCCCATAGTAGCTTGTGCTTAGCATTGAACTGCATTGTTATGACTTAATAACATTGCAATCGTTTTGAGTCAGAGTTCTTTGCCTATTTCTTGACATCTATGACCGTCTATTCATCGGAGAATGCTTTTCATCAATTCACATGCCGCCTAATTCTTTCTTTTTTCTTAAGATATTTATAGAGTATTTTTGTGATGTGAATCAACGGATTTGAGATGATATTCCGGCATTTTTGTCATTTATAGTCCTTGTCTGCTCTCATTCTGTTCCGACCAGACGAAAAACGGACACAAATAAGGCTGGTCCTTGGCTACGGCAAGTCTTGGAAACAAAGGATTTTCATATTGCCATTTCTAAAAATATAGGAACCACATTTGCTTTGTATATAGCAGAAAATGTTTTCTTTGAAAGAAGTGTGAGTGGATAACACAGCGAACGAAGAGACGTTGAGCTTTTCTGAGAAGATCAAACTATTTTGACCAGTGACCAATATTGATTTACTTATTTTATACATAATTATTGAATAAATAGGAAATTTATTTTTAAAATAATTGCCTGGGATTTAATAAGAAAAGCAATTTTTTTTCAAACTTCATAAAATTTCTTAATTTTCCATGTCTCATTTATTTGGTGTGTCATCTCACAAAGATCTATCTATCTATCTATCTATCTATCTATCTATCTATCTATCTATCTCAGTATGTTCATATCTATCTATCTATCTATCTATCTATCTATCTATCTATCTCAGTCTGTTGATATCTATCTATCTATCTATCTATCTATCACAGTCTGTTCATATCTATATATCTATCTATCTCAGTCTGTTCATATCTATCTATCTATATATCTATCTATCTTAGTGATCAAAACAAGAACGCTATATTCAAATCTAATAAATTGCCAGAGAATCTTAACATTTATAGAAATCGTGTGGCTTTTGCTACATACTTCATATCAAAACATGATTTATTGAAAATGGTCATGGCTGAAAAATTTTAATTACGAAAAATTATTTGAAACAATTACAGTAAATAAAAACAAGATATTATTTTACACGTTATAGAAATTACACCCCAAATTATGGCGATATTGCCGAAACGAAACGCTATCTAGGAATGTCCATGTTTTCTAGAGATGTCGGAACATGTCAAAATGATCGCAGCATTTTGATAAAAAGATATTATGATGGATACTTTGGGACATATCTTTATCTGGGCCGATCCAAGAGTTTTAAAATTCTACGATGGCAAAGTCTTGTCTTTTACATACACTCACACAAAGAAAGAAAAAAAGAAATTCGGTTGACCATGTGTTGTAGACTAGAACCCCTTCAGCACTTTACTAGGTGGTCTGGCTCATAGCCTTAAATAGTCTATGATTAAGGACTTCAACAGTTAATTAATGTCTTGATACTAAGCTGATTAATATTCAGACATCTTACTTCGTTTGGCTATACAGCATTTGACCCTCTTCTACTCCTTGTAAGTTGTCTTGTTAATTGTTTTGTAACTTATTGTTCTGTGTTTTTTGTATGTATCCGTTAGCACCGATTACTGGTGCTAAATAAATATATTAAGCACTCATTCACCTCGACGATACAAAACCATGTAAGATGTTTCAGAGAGGACAGACTAATTAAATGATATACAAAGAAAGATCCCCACAACATTAGAGCAAGAATTTCAAGGTAAATCAAAGCTGATCTCATGAAAGAGGTGTGCCGTTCTTGTTTTTCCTAAGATGGAACCAGAGTGGATTGAAAGTTTGTTCTCTAATTTCTGAAATAAGTAATAGTCGTGACATGAATATGCCGAACATTGTCGAGAAGGATAGGAATTGGTGTGAAGTACATTTCAGTAAAGTAAATTCAATTTACTTGGATTTGGCTGAAGACATTTTGTTCGATGTCGTCAAGGTGATAAACTTAACTAAAGTTTGGAGATGGAAGTGTCATGGTGTAGAGGAATATTTTCTTCTGAAAGTCTGGGAAACATTGTGCCGATTAATGGAATGATAAATGCTAATGTGTATCTAAATTAGTGACACAATAGGACATTCTTTCTCTACAAGGATTTTCCAATCAGCCAGGTATTTTAATGCAAGGCAATTTCCAGAATTTTGTCGCCCAAAGTTAAGAGTGCACATACACGGATAATTACGCAACTTTTACTCAGAACCCCGATAGAATAGATCATTATTTTACCTATAATATATATCTCTGTTTCTATCTATCTATCTATCTATCTATCTATCTATCTGTCTGTCTGTTCATATCATTGCATTTCTGTTATTCTTTTTTAACATATTTATATATTATTTTTTGTCTATTCATATCTACTTATCTATCTATCGCACTGTTCATATCTATCTCAGTCTATTCATTATCTATCTATCTATCTATCTATCTATCTATCTATCTATCTATCTATCTATCTATCTATCTCAGTCTGTTCATATCTATCTATCTATCTATCTATCTATCTATCTATCTATCTATCTATCACACTGTTCATATCTATCTCAGTCTATTCATTCTCTATCTATCTTTCTATCTATCTATCGCACTGTTCATATCTATCTAACACACTGTTCATATCTATCTCAGTCTATTCATTATCTATCTATCTATCTATCTATCTATCTATCTATCTATCTCAGTCTGTTCATATCTATCTATCTATCTATCTATCTATCTATCTCAGTCTGTTCATATCTATCTATCTATCTATCTATCTATCTATCTATCTATCTATCTATCTATCACACTGTTCATATCTATCTCAGTCTATTCATTCTCTATCTATCTTTCTATCTATCTATCACACTGTTCATATCTATCTATCTCAGTCTACTCATTATCTATCTATCTATCTATCTATCTATCTATCTATCTCAGTCTGTTCATATCATTGCATCGTAGTTAATACTTTTTTTTAACATATTTATGTATTATTTTTTGTAACTGAAAACAAATATGTAAAGAAAGACAAAGATATTCACTCGAAAATATCAATATATTTTCATGGATACATGTACACATATTCATCGAAGAAAAAGCAGAAAAAAACGTCTAATCAATAAAATATCTCTCAACAAACATGGAGCTCAATTTCAACGTGGCATCGAAAGCTATTGCATTACCATAACAGGTGATTCCCATCCACGTTGGCCATCACGTCCACGATGGAAACCCAAACAGAGACGTCCAGGATTTTCGAAGAGAACAGCTAGGATGCCACATCTCAACGAGGAGTGACATGACCGTAAAATCTTCAGTCTTTGGTTCTAGAGATTACTCGCGGCTCTGCAAGTTCATATCTGTACGTGTGTTAGCCTGTGCATGTCAGTGGAAGTCTATGATATATATATATATATATATATATATATATATATATATATATATATATATATAGTTTGGATGTAAAAGGAATTGTATTATTGAACAAGAGCAAATCCTCGGTCCTTCTCCCTTCAATCTATTTGACGTGTTGCCCTCTGCTAGAAATAAATTAAAATTTGTCAACAGCATAAATCTACATAAGAAAGATCTCTGTTAGAGGTTGAGGCATTTATAGATGTGGTCAGGTAAAGTTTTGACTAGTATTTTGGGTTACAAGTTATAAGACACACACACACACACACACATATATATATATGTTTGATAACTTGTAACCTAAAATACAAAATAAATGCAGTAAATTATTATAAGATTTTAGAGAAGACGTTTACGGATTGATATGGGGGATTAGAGAAACGTTTATGATTGATTATGGATTGATATATCGGCGTCGTCTTGCAAGAAGACGCTTCTTCACATATTGCAAAACTGGCGACTGTCAACCTTGCCATAAAAGGGTTCAAAGATAAAATGGAATAGTTATTAGTTTCTCCATACAATAATCGAAGAGAAATCTTGCCATTTATAGTTGAAAAGAAATGTAGAAGTGAATGGGAAACAATATTAAAATAAAGATATCTAGAAATGATAAAACTATTAAAATATAATTATTAAATATATATATATATATATATATATATATATATATATATATATGCGTGTGTGTGTGTATATATATATATATATATATATATATATATATATATACATGCATTTCTGCGTGAATGTCAATGTAAGCCTATTATATATGTGTGTGTATGTGAATGGAAGTATATTACATTGTATTGTATGCATATATATATATATATATATATATATATATATATATATATAGTTATTTCTTCAGGAATTATAACAAATATTTTATAAAATCACTAAAATATGGTCATTTTGTTTCATTTTTGTTTTGGTGTCTTATCAAGTGATGGTGTTGAATTCATATATATATATACATATATATATATATATATATATATATATATATATATATATATATATATATATATATATATCATAAATAGAATGAAACCCATATATATGTGTATGTGTGTCTGTGCTAAATAAGATAGACGGAATATTTTGTATTTTTAGATTTGATTTTTAAATATAATTAAATTATATTTTATGTAGGAAGGAAATTTATTATACATACATTATATATATATATATATATATATATATATATATATATATATATATATGAAAAATTCATATATATGTATATGTTTATGCGTATGTGTGTGTGTGTGTGTGTATGTGTAAGCCTATAATAAATATGTTCTCTTCATATTTCCATAATTTCGAAATTAAAAATAATGGAAGCACTAATAATGAAAAAGAAAAGCAAACACTCAATAACATTAACTATGAACACGGTCACAACATGCTGACCGTGTTTGGAAAATAAAACATTCCTATAACTTTAGATGTATGCATAAAAACCGCACACATTCAGTTAAAAATTAAAAAAAGAATAGAATAGGAATAGACGAAAGCGCTTGAATATACAGAACTATTAGACAGTTTTTACACTTTTTGTGTCTAGAAAAGAAAGCTCTAGAAGAAACACTAGGAAAATTAAATAAAAACCTTAATCGCAGTACCCTTTAGTCGTCTTTAAGGAAACACATTCGCCAAAAACACACACACTAAACACAAAGCATGTGTGTGTGTGTGTGTGTTTATAATAAGTATATTCTCGACCTATGTTTATAATTTCAAATAAATTCTATTTGGAATTAAAGGGATAGTGTTCGAAATTTATTACGGATTTATTGATTGTCTTTGGAGTTTCGACTGTAATTTTTTTAATTTTAGAAGCATTTTTTCCCAAATGTAAGCAACAGGATTTGTGTACAAAGTAAACAAGATTTATCTTCGGTATAAAAAATCCTGAAAAAGTAAAAAAAAAAAAAAAAAATATCTACTGACCACATTTTTAATGGGAACTTTTAACAATCTAATAAAACCATGAGTGATGGAAGAAAAATATTTTATTCATAGCGATTGAAACCTTAAAACATGCCATTTAAGAAACAATGATGAAATTTTCCTTTTTTAAAAATTACGTCTTGTAGATGGCGTCCTCCTGTACGAATGCATTCTTGAAATCTGCTGTTGAGATTCCTCATTGACTGCTGCAACATCTCAGCTGGGATACTGTGAATTTCATCTTGAATTCTAAATGGCGAAATGTTTACTTGCTCAAGGTCACTGTCTCGCAGTGTTGCCATTTGCACATGTCTGGCAATTCGCACTTAAAAAATTCCCGTTTTTGGGGGTCACCCTGTATATATTTATTTATTCATTCTTTTATTATCTATTTTTTTTGTTTTGTCAGATTTAATCTTTGGTCTGTTTTCAGACAAGAACTTGATTTTTTTCAGATGACCAAATATCTGAATTCAGTTCATCTCTGCAGTTGGGATGCGTCTTATTTTCTCATTTCCGTGGTCTGTCTGAAAAGTAACTGGTCTACTGTCACAAACAATTTATTTAAATTCCAAACAACAAACTACATGGTTTCCCCTTCAAAGTAATCCTGATTAAGTCCAATGCACTTTTCCATCCTTCTCAGCCACGCAGATCATGGAGGGATTCTTCTTAGATGCTCCGTCGTTACGGCCCTCTTGATGGCCTCCACGCCTTTAAAACGGGTCCCCTTGATGATCCACTTGAGCTTGGGGAATAGAAAAAAAGTCACACGGAGCAAGATCAAGAGAATAGGGAGGTTGTCCCCAGTACGGCGATGTTCCTCTCAGCCAGGAACTGTCGGATGCTCAGGGCGTTGTGAGCAGGTGCATAGTTGTGTGGAAGCAGCCACGATTTGTCCTGACACAATTCTCGTCTCTTCCCGCGCACTGAGCGAAGTAAACACCGCAGGATCTCTTTGTAGACTTGCTGATTGATCGTCTGGCTCTGTGGCAAAAACTCCCTGTGGATGATGCCTCTCACATCAAAGAACTTGATCAATCTCGTTACTTTTCAGAAAGACATCGTATATGTCCCTTTTGTTGCCACCACCTCTCTTGAACACTCATTTCTATCGATATTCCTTTACATGTATATTCCTATGATAAAGCTCATCATATTCAGTATGTTGTTTCTTTTCTATAAGTATCCGAAACTTTAGTGAGTTACTGACAAGCTGTCGCAGAATTCAGGTAAAATTATTATTTTATTCATGATTTAACCTCTTTTTTATGATCTGTATCAGTCTTTACAATATTCGATTATATTATCGCTTCTCTCTCTCTCTCTCTGTTTCCAATATTCATTAATATTTTCTCAATATTCATTAAGATTTCCCGGTAGAATTTATCTTGACACCTTTAGGGTCTGGTGTTTCTGCTATGTACTTAAAGATTCTTGAAAAAAATCAAAGACAAATCTACAATATTATCGGTCCTAACCTGGCACCTCGGCTTCAGTTACTTTCCCACCACCGTAACGCAGATTCCTGTGGCTTTTCTATAAGCATTTTCATGGTAATTGTTCTAGTGAGCTTTCCTCTTTGGTACCATGATCATACGAATTTAAGACTAGATTGGCAGATAGGTCTCATAATTTCACTATTGAAACTGTTAGTTGTAACCGTAAGTTCTATGCTAATTTTTTTCCTCTCTCACGCTTCTGCGGAACTATCGTCTGGCCTACTGCTTTCCAGTCATCTTCAGAAATTTAAATGCAATTTCAATCGTTATCTTCTGTTTTCTTAATTCACATTCCTTTATTGTGCTCTCTCTCCTTAATAATGTTTTTTGCGTATTCTTTCACACTCAGTAACCCTTAGCGTCTTCGTGAATTTGTTGCCTTGCTTGGGGTGAAATGATAAAAAAAAAAACGTCAAAACAGTAGGAAGTTATGAAAATAAATGGAAAATGACTGATAGATTGTATAAAATATCAAGGAACCCATCTTATAGTAAATAATAATTTATTCAGATAAAGAGGACATTGTGTTAATTTTGCGATGTCAACGAACACTCGTTGCCACGTTTGTAATGTCAAAGAATACTCGCTATAATATAGCGATGAAGAAAACTGGTGTCAAACGCTTTCAAATAATCTTGCACTAATAGTACTTGCTCGATAATACTCGCTCGAATAGTAATCCGTACATTGAAATACTATAGAGAAACATTATAGTGAAGAGAGTAGAGAATCGCGGTCCGTATAGTAATAGAGGATAGACTAGAAATGGAGATCCGAATAATAATAGAGGATAGAGTAGAAATAGCGATCCGAATAGTATAGAGGATAAACTAGAAATGCAGATTCGAACTGTGATAGAATAGAAATACTGATCCTTAGTCGTCAGCTACTTCCTACATATATGCGTTTCCTCTATGGTCACGTGGTCTATTTAATTCAATAATGGGACCGTGTTTGTTCACTGGCGATCTATGTTCAAATTCAAGTATCGGCATCGACAACTTTATTGCTATATGACACTTAATCAACTATATATCTTTTTGGCTTGCATATTTTGGAGAGATTTAT